ACCCTTGAGCCCTGCTATTCCCCTCACAGAGGGGTGGGGGACCGTACAGGGATGGTAGAGGATGTCCAGTGGGGCTTGGAGGAGGGGCCACGGCGGTTTCCTTTCAGCCTCACCGTTTGTGCATCCTCATACTTCCTGCCATTTGCGAATTTTACTTTGGAAAAAAAAGGTGCTAAAATCATCTGAACTACTTGTGTGTCGTTCTGTCCAGCTGCCCTAATCACACCGCACAGGACAGGAGAGCATGGCCCCGGCCCTGGCCACAGGGAACTGAGGCTCTGGCCCGAGCAGACTGACCTGCTAGGGCTGCGTCGGGACAGGACATGGTGAAGCCCAGCTCCTGGCTGGGGACTGGGCCCCTCATCTGGAGAGAGGCTTCTCCGGAGGACACCGTTGCCAGTGTCATCAGCCACGACCTTGGAGGATCTGGAGACGGACCCGCTGCGATGCTGCCAGCAGCCAGAGGGCAGAATCCTGGGCCAGGGTAGACAGGGACGAAGGGGACAGGGTCTTGGGCAGACCCCTCCTGGTCCATCTCACCACGTGGCAGGGACCTGCTGACACAGCAAACACTACTTCCCGTGGGCTGAGGCTCCTCGGCCAGAGTCTGGAAAGAGACTCCAGCCAGTGTGGGGATCTGGGTCCCTTGGGCACAGTACCTGGGAGCTGCTGGCTCTGCAGGTATTTCAGGAAAGCCTGAGGCAGGGGCCAGCGGTGCCCATAGTCCCCGGGAGGTCTCCATGGTCTGCGGAGACGCGGTTTCTGCAAGTCCTGTTGGCAGCACAACAGTCAGATAGGGGAGGCTCAGCAACAGCCGAGCCTGTGCCCCCTTCCCACAGGCTCTGCCTGAGGGGCCCAGCAAGTGAGAGCCAGTCTGAACTGCCTGCTCTCCCACCAGTCCCTGGAGCACAGGGCAAGCTAAGCCCAGAGACACAGAGCTGTCAGCTCATTCCCCGTCCCCACAGGCTCTGCCTGGGCACCACAACAAGGGATGCAGGAAAGGAACACAGGGTGAGCCAAGTCAGCATCAGACAGATGGGGAGGCTCAGCGGCAGCCCAAGCCTGTGCCTCCTTCCTGCAGGCTCCACCCTGACAACCCAACAGACGACGTCAAGGCCAACTGCCTGCTCTGGAGAACGGAGCACAGGGCGAGCCAAGCCCAGAGACAGAGCAGACAGACAGGGAGGCTCAGCGGCAGCCCGGGCCTGTGCCTTCTTCCTGCAACCTCTGCCCAGGCATCCCAGAAAGTGAGAGCCAAACCCAACCAGCGATACCCCGGCCGTCCCTCCTCTGAATCAATGGCGCACAGGACAAGCCACGCCAACCACGGCTGCTTACCTCCCACCCTCCGTCACAAGGGTGAGGGTTAGCCCTCCACACACTAAGGGACTGCAGCCCCCCACCCAGGCCAGGCCCAGCACCCACCACATATGACCCATGTCTAGCCTTTGCCCAGCTTCCGTCTCAGCAACCTCTTTCCCACTGAGAAATGACCTGATGCTGTGGACCCCAGGCCAGCTGAAGGGCCGATCCTGCCTGAGCAGTTGGGGGAGTGGTTACAGGAAGGGAGTCCCAGTCATGACGGAGGTCATAGGAGGTGGGATCACAGGGAAAGGGATCACAGGTAGGGTCCTGTGATCTGGAGGAGGCTCCAGGGGGTGGATCACAGAGAGGGTCCCAGTCTCCGCCCGGAGGAGAGTCCGTGAGGACTAGCAACACCCCACACCACAGGAGGCTGGGCTCTGGAGCCCCTCACCTGGCCACTGGGGCCTCACCACACCCTCAGGGTCAGCACAGGGGTCCCCTGAGGGGCCAGGGGGCTTTGGAGCACTCCCAGAGGCAGCATGCCCATCCTGGGTTGCGGTCCCTGGGTCTGGCTCCGAACGCTGCAGGAGAGCTTTCTGTCTCCGGCGGTAATTGGCAAACCAATTGTAGACCTGCTCAGCCGACAGGCTGGTCTCCAACGACAAGGTGTCCTGTGGGGACAAAAGAAGTTGTGCCCGCCTCACCCCACACGGCTCTTCCAGGGAAAGGAGCCACGGCCACCTCACCCTCTGCACCCGGGCCAGTCCTACTCTGAGCAGGAGCCCTGGGGGACAAGCGACCAAGTCCTCCCCGCCCAGCCCATAAAGGGAGACCCTCCGTCCCAGGCAGGTCCCCCCGCACCCAGCAGGAGGGAGGTGCTCAGGGCCTCTGGGTGCTATGGCGCCAGCTCCCTCATACCCGCTGGGCCTTGTCCGGGTAGGGGCTCACGGCCAAGGCGAAATCCCGCAACTTCTTGCGCACGTCCCCGGAGAAGTGCCGGCTCCTCAGGCCCTCGGGACAGAGGGACGGGGGCGGTGGGTTCCTGGGTGAGGACAAGAGGGCGAGGTCGCCTGACAGGACCCCAAACTGTCCGCTCTGTCCCAGGGCCAGGCCCCACCCCTAAGAAAGGGCCCCCAGGTTCTTCCTCAGGAGCCCTCTGTGCTCACTTCAGGGGCAACGAGGAATTGTCGACAGAAACGAGACCCAGAGAAGGTGCTCCATCAGGGACGGGAGCTGGCGGTGCCCCGTCCTGTGCCCACCCACGGCATCCCTGGGCTCCTTCTGTATGGCCTCCACAAGACCTCCCCACCTCCCCTCACCTGTGTGGCTGGACCCCGACCCCACGGGCAACCCAGAACTCTGAGTGAACGCACTTCTTCCTGCAGCGGAAGGTCTGCAGGGGGCTCAGTGTGTCCACGCCCAGCCTCCTCATGGTCATGTGGTAGTGGATGTCATTCCAGGCCTCCACCAGCTCCAAGCTGCCCCCGGGCACCCGGCAGCCCTGTGGAGGGAGAGCCTGGCTGAGCCCTGGAGGCAGGCCTGTGGGGCCACCAGCCCAGCACCCAGCCCTGGGCAGATGCTGGCGTTAGAACCGCTGGTGAGGGGTGCCCCTGGGCGGCGGGACACCAGGGTCGACAGTCCTCCTGCCCCTCCTGTCCAGCATCCATCCGCGTATGACAGTAGCAACGTGGATGGTGAGTTAGAAGCGTGGACCACACATGCGTGCTGACAATGTCCCGGGTCCACGAGCCCCAGAGAACAATGCAAGTCTGGGCGGAGGGTGGAGGTCTCACCCTGAGAAGGCTCGCTCCGCAGACAGGACCTGGTGTGACTCTCAGGCATCTCTTTATCTGCCAGGGGCTGGGCCCAGGCAGGCCGGGCACGGTCCCGGGTCACACACCCTTCCCGTCAGAGTGCTGGGCTGGGCAGGGCTGAGTGAGCAGCGGAGGGAAGAGGGTTTTCCCAAGAAGGGAACGCCAACCTCAAATCCACTGACCTCTGTACTCCTCCCGCCCATCCGCGGGCCCTCCAGCTCCAGCAGCCAGCAGGCCAAGAGAGACGGTTTTCCGAGGAGCAAACCCCTGGTCTCCAATCCACTGACTTCTGACCCTCCTGCCCACCCTGCAGGGCGCCCTACCTCCAGCAGCTTGCAGGCCGCCTGGTGCTGCTCCCGCCGGTCCAGGACGAGCACGCACACCAGGATCACAGCCTCGCTTTCTAGCAGGTACAGGCGGAGCGGGCTCCTCAGCACAGCCTCCACCAGGGGCCCTGCCTGGTCCAGGTCATCCTCCAGGTCCCGGCACAGCCTTCCGGCCAAGGCCACCAGCTCAGCCGGGGGTGGCCGGTCGGGCCTGCTCTCGCTCTCCTCCAGCAGCATCAGAAACCGCTGCATCCCGTCTCAGGCTGGGGGCCTCTGCAGTAACACTGAGGGCAGTGGGGGGCACAGACCACACACTCAGAGCACCACAGGGCCAGTCTTCAAACCAGCCTGTTGAGTCTCATGTCACCAAGAGCCAAGAACCCTCCTGAGAGGCAGGGTGTGTATGGCTTGCTGACACTTCCTTTCAGTCCCCAAAGGCTGTTGCCAGAGCCATGGACAATAGGCTAAGCCAGCCAGCCACACTGTCCCTCATTTCTCTGACACTGTGGGGACCTAGGAGTCCTGACTGTGCAGTGGTTGCACACTGGACAAAACATTCCACCTCTCTCCCGTGGGGTGGCTGGTGGCTTCGAACTGCAGACCTTGTGCACTGCAGCCCAACATGTAACCACTATGAGATCCGGGCTCCTCTCTACCACCAAGTCAACGGCTCCAAACCACTAGTCACTCCACCATTGAAAGACTAGGCAGAGCCACAATCTCTGAAACCCACAGGGTCAGTTCTACCCTGTCCTGTAGGGTCACTATGAGTCAGCCTCAACTCCATGGCAGAGTTTGGCTTCATAGTGACCTGACCACAAGGACCACCGTCAGGCCCTTGCCTGGCTCCTGACTGCCCCTGGCTCCTCATACAGCATATCCCCGTAACAGCGTCCGACTCTCCTGCACCCTCAGTGCAGGGGATGGCTCTGCCCTGGGTCTGGGGTCTCTTAGTCTCTGTCAGGTGGGCACTAGTCTCTCCTGGCCCCGCATCACATAATGACCCAGGGAAACAGTGGGTCAGTGGTCAGCTGGGACATCAGGCTTCTGGGAGCTTCCAGGTCTCATCTGACTCTGAGACACCCTCAGGACACTCCCGTGGATGTCAGGACTGTGGGTACATCTAGAACACGCCGTGCACCCTTCACAGGTTTTCATCAAGGAGCCCTGATGGCACAGGACTGAGAGCCTGGCTGTGAACCACAGAGGGGGCTGCATGACCCACCCACCCGACTGCAGCCTCAGACATGTGCTGGGGAGGTCTAGACTGCCCTGAGGGCTGCCTGGAGTTGGATCTCTCTGACAATAAGGTGGCTGAGCTTTTACCCACTGTGCCCCAGTGTCATTGACTCACAATGTGATGCACTGTGAGAGGAACATGTCAGAGAGAGACTCTGGCCAGCCCCAAGTAACAACGGGGCAGCAAGAGCCCAAGGGAAACACTGAGAGGCTGGGGGGAGAGGGTGCTGCTGTGTCACGGGGGCTGTAGTCAATGTCACAGAACAAAGTGTCTGACTGTGAACTGTTGACTGGAAAATTCACTGAATCTGCTACCTTTCTGTAATAGTCTTTAGCTGTGAACTGTGTGTCATTTGATCTCCTCCCCGGACCACGAGTTACAGGAAAAAGCCTGGGATCTCAGGATTGGCACTCCGGCACTCCATCAAGACTGACCCTCTGGTTGTGCAGTGGGAGATCTCTTTCGTCTGGCTGGCCTGCCTGTGCCCTGGATTGAGGGTGGCATTCACTGTGTACCAGGAGGAAACCCCAGCACACACCACAGCAGCAGGGCCGGCGCCCTCTGGTTTGAACTACTTTGATTTTGAAAGCAACTCTGATTTAGAAAATGAAAAACACAAACTGAAAACGTTGCCCCAACATACCTGGACACAAGAACTGAAATATGGTCCCCAAAGAGGGTCGGCCTGTCAGGTCTGCCCCTTTGGCTCAGTAAGACTTCTGTTACAGGAACAATTCAGGCTGAGGGCAGCAAGGTCGCTGCCAACATGTGACTTTGGCAGGCTGGCTCCAGTGCCCCAGTGCAGCCCCCAAGCCCACATGGCTACCTGGGCAGGGTTGTTACCATCGCCCTCCTCTGCTCCGTAGAACCCACAGCCCTGCCAGGGACTCATAGCATCCTGAGTCACCAGATGTGTATGTACTTACCTGCTTATAAAACAGGGGCAACTGAGGGCCTGTGCCAGGGCTGTACCTGACCCAGGTCACAGGAACCTACCCCTGGGCCAGCAGTACCTTCCACCCGACAGAGGTCACAGGCCGGCACCTTCCCCCTGACCAGCAGCTCCCCCCGACCCAGGTCACAGACCACCACCTTCCCCCGACCCAGGTCACAGGCGCCAGCCGTGGGACCAGCAGCTCCCGGGGCACCAGGGCACCATGTCTGCATCGACATCCAGGTGGCGCAGGCAGGCTTGAACTCATGGCTCCGATTTGTGGGATGGGCGAAAGGTGTCGGACACTCACCCCCAGGCGGGCACGGAGAAGCCGCGTCCACGGGGTACGGGTCCTTGCGCAGCTCAGCAGAGTCCCCAGCAGGGAGGGAGGAATCCACTCCAACACCCGACCCAACAGGAGCCCATGGGGGTCCCTTCCGCCGATGGGGTCCCTTTACCCTCGGGCAACTGGCGTCCGGCTCAGCGAGCAAGTGCGCCCTGGGCCTCAGACAATCTGGGGTCCCCAGGCTTCAACTTACTGCCAGCCTTCCCAGGCCTGTGCATTTTGGGGGACAGGGAACCGAAAGGGGCAGACTCCCAGTCGCGCCCCAGCTGGACTTCCCCAGGACCCTTACCTTTTGGACTTCCCCAGGACCCTTACCTTTTGGGGCGCAGCAGATCGGCTCTCAGAGCCCCGCACCCACCCCACCCAGAAGGAGGCGCCAACCCGGCGCCAGACAGCGGCTTCGATACACTGTTTGGGAGGCGGGGCTGGACCGGAAACGGCCCCAGCGCAGATCCCGCTGGGGGCGGAGCAAGGGGGGGGCCTCAGTGTCGAACCTTCCACCCAGACTGGTCCCCACCCCCACCCCATCCCGGGTCCCTTGCACCACTGCCTCAGTGGCCTCAGGGCCAGAGGAGAGCACCCCTCAAAGGGCCAGGGGTGGCCCAGCCCAGCCTGCCCAGCCAGGGGGCATCCTGATCGCCCACAGCCCTGGTGGGCGGAGGCATGACCCCTGAGGACCCCCTCCGATCCCGGCGCCCCTGGAGAGGGGAGTAAGGGTAGGGCCGCCTGTGCTCTGTCCAACCTGAGCCTGGACATATCCGGGAGACCGCATAACAGCCTCCCCTGAACCACACACATCCCATCCTGAGCACAGTCGGCTCAGTCACAGCTCAGTCAGAGCACAATCAGCTCAGAGCACAATCAGCTCAGATCACAGTCAGCTCACAGCACAATCAGCTCAGAGCACAGTCAGCTCACAGCACAATCAGCTCAGAGCACAGTCAGCTCACAGCACAGTCAGCTCAGTCACAG